CTCTGGTGTATGTGGGGCTCCCGTACATATGCATGTATTGAATGTAGTCATTTTCTTTCGTTCATCTGCCTTGTGTCTATTTGGTGACTAAACCAGCTGAAAGAACCGCCGGGTAGAGGAACGTTTCTTCCTCCCTCACAGCACCGACTTGTAACTGGCACATAGCCTGCCCCCCTCAGCCCCAAGGCAGGCTGCACTGCCTTAAGTAACTGTGGAATTTGCTCTGTGGCCTTAAGCAAATCCTTAACTTCTCTGAGCCTGTTTCCTTTTCTACAAAAGAGGTTCCTCATACCTTACAGACAGGGATGTTGTGAGACAGTGAAATAGTGAGTGTGGCACACAATGTGTGGAATAAATTTACCTCAATAGCCATCTTCACTCTCATCAGCAAAAGCCCCAAATTTTCTTTCTTTTTAAAAAAAATATATATTTATTGATTTCAGAGAGAGGAAGAGAGAGAGAAACATCAATGATGAGAGAGAGTCATTGATCAGCTGCCTCCTGCACCCCCCAGACTGGGGATGGAGCCCACAACCTGGGCACGTGCCCTGACCAGGAATCAAACTTCGGCGACATCCTGGATCCTAGGTCAATGCTCAACCACTGAGCCACGCTGGACCGGGCCCTGAATTTTCTTGAGTGTGTTCCCCATTTCCAGTCCCTTTGAGTTGGGGTGATGCACATAATACAGGCCTAAGTCAGCACATGGCATTCTCCTGGCCAGTGATTAGTTCAGGGTCACATGTCCCTAGCTAGGGCAATTAGAGAAGGTTTAGAGCTTTGCTGGGACATTTTGCCCCAAGGATGGCAATCGGGACATGGTTCCTGGAGCTGCTAGAACCTTCGCCTGACCACACAGGGAAAAACTGAAAGTGGAGTCAACAGAGAGCGGAGAGCTGAAGAGAAACTAGAAGCTGGAGATAATGTTCCGCCTCCAGCCACACCTGCACGTTTCCAGCCTTCTCAGCAACAAGGGGTCCTATTCTTCTACTGTCAGGGATACCTTTTGGGGCTGGAGATCCCAGAATAAGGTTTTCACATTTAAGTCCAACATCCTCAGTCCCCACTGTCCAGAAAGCTAGTGGCAGAGTTGGAACTTGTATTCCAGTGCACGTGCCACCAAAAGCAGTCTTTCTGAGGATTCATCAGGTCCGAGACCGGTGACACCAATAAATAAAGAAAAGTGAGGAAAGCCCAAGAGATTTCCCTGCGGACTGAGGAAGAGGGTGGGAGCCTGGAAGGGCATCAGGGAGCTGGGCGGCCCCGTGTGCCTGGGACAGATGGGCTACCTGCCGAAACATGTTCACTCAGGGGTCTCTGACGAAGTTAGATGAAGGAGAGGGTGAGCGAAAAGGTGAGTCTGGAAGTTCCTGCCTCCCCGTGGCATCACTGGAAGGAGGAGGACCGGGTGCTGGAGAGGCAGAAACGAAAGATGCCCTCCAGAGATGTTAAAAGGTGGTCTGCAAATGCTAATGATAACATTTTTAAAGGTTCTGAAGTCAAATGAATTTGGGAAATACTAGGTTAGGCAAAGAGAAACTAAGATATTTATCATATTAACCAATTAATGCAAATTTTGACTCTCCAGAGGGGTGTTGGAGAATCCGGCTTTTCCCAAGCCCTTTTGACTGCATGATTCTTACTCGAGAAGCATCTCCCAGGACACATGGGCCACCCAGTGCATTTTGGGAAAAGCTTCACTGACGGCACAGGGAGCCCGCACTTGGCCCTGCTCACACCGCAGCGTGCCCACCGGCCCACGCGGCTACCAGCTCCTGCCTTCCCTTGCTCAGGATCGCTCTGGCCACTGGAGCCCACTGTGCCCGTAAGAGTGGCAGGCCTGAAATTCTGAAGAATTAGCCCCTGGACGCAGCCCTCAACCAGTGACTACCGGGAGGGGACGTACAGATACCCAGCTGCCTCCGCGGCAGGGGGCCCCACGCGCACCGCTGCGCTCCCCAGCAGGACAGGACAGGACCGCGCCCCGCTGTCCTCAGTGGGAACTGGCTCTGCAGTGCACCCTTTGCTGCTGCCTTCTCTTTCCTGTCACCCCCCACTCCTCTGCCAGTGACTTCTGGGACCACCTCCCAAATAAACTACTTGCTCTAAGACCCCATCTAAAGGGCTGCTTCTGAGAGAAACTGTCCCCAGAGCTATTACCTCCTGATGGCTTCTAGAAGCACACAGATGTCTCCCCCAGCAAATCCAGAAAACTCTCTCAGTTAGCACTAAATCTACCTTTCTTCCAACAGACTTCAAGAAAAAAGCTATTTCTGCTCCCCAGCTTCCATCTGCAGGGATTCTCTCTCCAGATCATCCCAATGTGCTAAGAAATCCCAGGCCCAGCTCCTTAGGCCCCACTGCAGTGACTGTCTGTCCCGCCTGGCTCACTGACTGATGGAAGCGAAGCCACATCCCCTGCTGGTCCCAGAAACACAAACAGGAAGCAGCTTAGTGCCTCACAAAACACCCCATCCCAACCCAATCCCAACCCACCAAAGCAAGGACCAGGGTACCCTCACCCTAGACTTCCCCATGCCTCGCACCCACAGGCAACCTGTCATCACATCCCAAACATCTCATTCCACCACCTCTCCCCGTTGCCCCTGTCACTCGGGCTAGCCCACCACTTTTTCTCACTGTTCCCACCACAGGCCCTTTGCACAGACTACTCCTAAGTCCTGGAGTGCTATCTGCAACTCACCAGCTTGCCACAGAAAGACTCCAGTGACTCAGTCTCCTAAAGTTGTCCTACCCTCCCACCCCCAACCATTCGCTCCTTGGACCCTGGTGCAACCATTCGGATATGCAAACACTTAAGAGAATCATATATCGAACACTGTGTACCCAACACTGCTTAAGAATAAGGCAGCACGGCCCTGGCCAGGCAGCTGGGTTGGTTAGAGCACGGCTCCCTATATGCCAAGGTTGTGGGTTCGATCCCTGGTCAGGGCACACAGAAGAATCAACCAATGAAAAGAAAAAAATGAACCAACCAATGAATGCACAAATAAGTGGAACAACAAATCAATGCTTTTTCTCTTTAAAAAAATCAATATATAAAAATTTAAAAAGGACATTACACATATCACTTCCTAACTCCCTCCGTACATCCCTCCCCCTCCTGCCCCACTGTTACCTCTCCTGAATTTGGGACTCCTCACTCCTTTGACTGTCTTGATATCCTTCCATAATGTGTATCCCTGAACAATATATAGCTTTTTCCCTTTTTTAGCTTTATATAAAATAAGGTGTTCTCCTTTTCTCACTCCACATTCTGTTGGTGATATTTACTTGAGGTGATAGGCACTGGTCGTGTTCATTCATTTTTACCCACTGGTGATTCCCGCTGGCGCACGTCCGTTCTCCAGGTGACCACCGTCTGTTGTTTCCAGCCATTCCAGTGCTGTCCTGAGTCTCTGGTACCCGCCCCCTTAGCCCATGTGCCACTGTCAGGCTTCTGCCCAGGACTGTGCTAGGTGGTCGCATCGACATGCCTTGCTGGAAAACTGTTTCTGTTCCTCAGCCCAGCGCAAAGGTGCCCCTGCCCATTTCTATCTCCCCAAATAAAACGATTTAACTCTACCTGTTGATGTCCAGTGGGTCCAACCCCCTCCGCAGGCCTCCCCCCTCACTTCTCCAGCTGGGCCTGTTATGAGCTTCCCCATTCGGGGGCAGCTGACACCCAGAGCAGGCAGCTGGCAGCGGTGACTCTGAAGTCCACAGAGCTAATCCCAGATTTGCACTTTGGTCGGGTGCCTTTGGGCAAACACTTCTCTTTGAGCCTGTGTTTCCTCACCTGTGACACGGGGACACCTACGGTGACCAACAATAGGGGAGTGGCGATGATTAAATGCGGCAAGCCTGAAAACGCAGCAGCTGTTCCTATTATCTTTGGAGCCCACCGAGGCCGCCAACAAGTCCATCACTCAGGACCACTCTGCCTGTCGGCAACAGAAACCCCAGTCAAGCCGGCGGGAGAAAAGTGGGAGTTTATTGGCCCGTGTAACTGGGAAGCCTGAGGGGACGTCTCGCTCCAGTGTGACTGGATCCAGGGGTCCTGCCAGCGAGCCGCCCTGTCCACCTCCGGGCCATTCTCCCCTCCCAGTTGGCGTCAGTCTCAGGCAGGCTCTCCAAGCGGGGGCTCCAGGACTACATCCCTCCAGCTTCACAACTGCCAGGAACAAAAAGAGCTTCTCCCTCCCGATGCTCCCAGCTGAGCCCCAAGCTGGGCCTCGCTGGCCCAGCGAGGACACGCGCCCACTCCGGAGGCAGTTACGAGGCATCCACGAGCCCCTGCTGCTTGGAGTGCGGTTCTCGGAACAGCAGCAGGAGAGCCACTTGCTGGGGGCTCCTTGGAAATGCTGAGCCTCAGGACGCTCCCAGACCCACTGAATCAGAATCTGCATTTTGGCAAAACCTCTGGGTGAGCCGCCTGCACATCAGGGGCTGAAAAGTGCTGTGCTGCACATTAACTTTTCCAGTAGCATAGACAATTTTTAAGTTGTTTTATTGAGAACTACAAAAAGTAAAACTAAGAAATCCCTTCCAAGTCATCAGTCCTCCCCCTTCTTTTAAAGATGGAGAAACGGGGAGGCCAGCAGGGAAGGGTCTTGCTCTAGGGCCCACCCAGGGAACCCCCACGCCCCACTCTCCCGCAAGCACAGCCTCCACCTTGCGGGCTCTCTCGGGGCGAGTGTATCTGGGCCCCAGAAGCACCAGGCTGGGTAGGACCCGCCTCACCCAGAAGGTGACATGTCTTGGCCATCACCATCCCTCTGCAGTACCTGGCTGGGATGCCTAGGACCACGGAGGCCCTGCAGAGGATAGAGACCCACGGACACATGCACAGACACACACACAGACACACGCACACACAGACACACGCAAGACACAGACACACGCAGACACGCACACACACGCACAGACACACACGCACAGATGCACACAGACACACACATGCATATGCACACGCACAGACACACATATGCACATACATGTGAACACAGATACACGCACACACAGACACAGGCCCTCTGGCACAGCTCACCCTCACCCTGACTCTGCCACTGGGTCCCCAAAGCCAAGAGCACTACAGACCACACCAGCCTTTATTCTATTACGGAGCAGGGCTGGGCCAAGGCACTTCATTCTCAGGCTGTGTCAGAAGGTGCAGAGGGTGGGGGCACCCAGACTGGACCCCAAAGTGACAATAAGTTAGGGGGGAAATTCTCAGGCTGTTGGGCTCAAGCCAGGGTGGGGTGCCAAGTGGGCCCCCCAGGGCCACTTCCAGCTGCCCAGCTCAGCCCTCCCAGGAAGGCAGGTTCCAGGACTGGCAGGCCTCACGCTGAAACACAAGAGGCCATGGGGTCAGGAGGCGGGGGCAGGTACAGGAGGGGTCCCCAGAGTCAGGAGGATAGGGCTGAGGCGGTGGGGCAGGGTCTTCGAGGGAGGGTCAGGAGCCCACAGACCCAGGGCAGGGCTGGGCGGGGCTCTCACCAGGCCTTCAGTGAAGCTCCTGCAGATTCTCATAATCCGGGGCACCCTCTTCCTCCTCTTCCTCTGCCTCCTGGGAACTTGAGGAAGCT